GCCCGGGGCCCCCGCCGCGGGCACCATGGGCGCTTCCCACTCCGCGTCCGAGGAGGTGCGGGAGCTCGTGGGCAAGACCGGGTGTGAGTATCCCGCGGGGCACGGGGACAGGGGTAGGGACTACCCACCGCTGGCGCTGGGGGCTCCCAGCCCACAGCCGCCCACTCGGCTTCGCGCCGCCGCGCTGTGTGACCTTGGGCTAGTAGCTGGCTCTCTCTGCACCTCAGTCTCCCCCTCCTTCAAATGGGTCCCCGCCAGCCACTTTGCAGGCTGCGGCGATGCTGAGTAAGTGTCGCGGTCGCTCAGCGCTCTCGGAGTTGGCTGGGAAGCCTGGGTCCTGGGGACTGGACGGGGGAGGGAGCAGGGTCCGGGCTCCCCTGCCCGGGGCGGAGCAGACGCCTGGGCCCGGGAGAGCGAGGGCTCAGGGATGCACAGCAGGTGTGCGCGCCCCGCACCTGAAAGTCGTTTGGATTCACGCTGCGCAGGAGGAGGAAAGTTTTGAAGACGGGCGCGGGGTGGGAGCGCGGCTCTGGCGCTTCCCGGCGTGTGACCTTAGACGGGTGGGCAGATCTCTGCGCCTCCTTTCGTTCTCCCGTCTGTAAAATGGGTTCAGAAGGGTCCCCCTCCACGGGTAGCTGGGAGTTTTAAGCGAGGCAGCGCCCGCAGAGCCCTTTGCCGGAGCCCGGCGACCTTCCTCGAGCTCACCCAGACTCCCGGGACCGCAGAGGCTGCGCGCCCCGCATCCGCCCCGAGCAGGGCTCAACCGGAGGCCGGGCCGCGTGCGGAGCTGACCGCAGGGAAGTAATGGCGGAAGCGCCTGTTCGCCCAAGTTAGCCGGGCTGGGAACTTGACACTGGGCCCTGACCTCGGGGCGCCCGGTTCTTTTGCGGGCTGTAAAGGGGGGTGTGGACTGAAGACCTCTGGGGTCCAGGGGAGTGGGCAAACTGACTGGCTATGGGAAGACCGGGTGTGAACTCTGCCAGCTCCACTTCCTGGCTGTGTGACCTTGGACTAGTCACTTTACTTCTCTGAGGCTTGGCTTCCTTCTCTCTGGAATGGGATTTCTGTTAGTATCTGGTAGACAGATGCTAAAGAAATGGGATGCAGATGTTATTTCTAGGAAGGAGCTGGCTCCTGGTTCCCGCTTTGAGTTTAGTGCAGACAACCAGCATCCATAGTTGATCACCAGCAGGGGTTGGCCCAGCCGTTTCTCCATGGGTTGAAAAACGACCCCTGCTTATCCTCAAACACCTCTTTCCAGGAGAGTCAGGTGAAAATTACAGAAAACCCATAATAACTGGTGTGTGTATACATGCATACACACACATATGTATGTAGACACCTTGTGTACAAATATGGAATTATCTGCAACTGGAGAAAATAGAGGTGTGGTGCAGTATGTATAATATGGTACTTTTTTTTTCTTTAAAGAGGGGGAATAAGTAACTTTTATTTGCATCAAGGAAGTAAGAATAATGAATACTTGTTGGGGGATTTGGTAGAAGGGATGAAGGGGGAGTGAGTTTTTCACTGTAAACTTTTTTATATTTTCACTTTGAACCATATGTGACTATTTTACTTCTTCAGAAGTTTTATAAAGTCTAGTTCAACCCCAAGGCTAATGTGAGAGGAGACAGAATTCCCTTCACCTGACTTTCTTGGGTTTTCCCTGTTTTGTTATTTATCGAGTGCCCTCTGGCTGCCTTGAATCTGGATGGGTAGAAGTGGGGTTCCCTGTAGCTGCGATCTCTGCAGGAAAGGTGGGCTGGCCCCTGGCCACTGTTTTTCAGCCCCCACTTGGAGCAGTCTAGGGGAATTCCGTCTGGTTGTGGGTTTGACAGGTGACAGGGCTGCAGAGCATGCTGGGAATCTCATCAGTTTCCAGGGTCCAGCCTCTCCCAGGGATGATGACTTTCACATCCCAAAGTGGGAGGGGAGACAGGAGGAGGTCAGGGAAGGAGTTCTGAGGTCAGACTCGTGTAGAAGATGAATGCCTTCTGTTGTCTGAACTTTAAGTGGGTGGAAAGTTCCCCTAGTCGTGTGAAGGGTTTGGCGCAGTCTGAGAACTTTTACCGTTTCAGGCTCAGAGAGAGACACGGTATAAATAAATCAACCCATAGGTATCAAGCTCTGTGAACAAGACATAATCTGGTAACATGAAAGTTAGGAGAGGGGCAAGGAAACATTTCTTTAGGGGTACACCAGGAGGGCTTCTTGGAGAAGGTGAGAATGGAACAGACCTAAATGAGGAGCCACGTGTGTGAAGACCTGTGGGAAGTGTGTTTGGTGCAGAGAGAGGACACATCAAATGCAAAGGTCCTTTGGCAGGAACAAGTTGAGGACAGTGAAGGAGATTTATATGAGATGAGGACACAGGCATAGTCAGGGCTCAGGTTTGGGTGGGAGCCTGATTTAAGGGGTCTTGTTGGGCAAGTCATGTATAGGGCATACATGCCTCACTTTCATCCACTATGAACTGGGGCTAGAGGTGGTACCTTCCTCAGAGTTGTTGGGAAGAATTAAGTGAGTGAATACACATAAGGTGTTTAAAACAAGCATGAGTGTTTAGCATTACTGGCCATGCCCTAAACACATTTATGGGTCTGGTCACTCTGAGCCACAGGTAAGAGTTAAGTCTTGGAACCACTTCTTCACAGCTGTATGACCTTAAGCAAGTCATTTTACCTCTTTGAGCGTCGGTGCCCCTGTCTGTATCCTGAGGTGGCAGTATAGATTCAACCAGATGATGTATGTATGTACCACAGTGTTTGACTTGGTATGGGAATGTCCACGCTCTCAGGATCCTGCGGGCTGAGTGGAGTGTTCATATAAGAACCCTCAGGAAGCATCTCTGAGACGGGGGAGGAACCTGTGACCAGGGCGCCAGAGAATCAGCTGTGCCCAAGATGGTCCTTGATGTGAATAATCAGCCTGGCCTCTTTGTATACACTCCCATGGAATCCTCATCATAATCCTCCAGGGAAGGTGGTACGATGGCCATTTTACAAATAAGGAAACTGAGGCTCAGAGGGGTAAAGCAACTAGCCTGCCATCCCATGGTTCATGAGCAGAGGAGTCGGGGAGTCCCAGGATCCCCAAGTTCACTGTCCTGCTGCCACCACCATGCTTTCACTGTATTTTGTTGCCTCTCAGATTTCTAGGAACTCAGAAGGGGTAGGAAGAGCCTGCCCATGTATTTTTCTCACCTCCAGGCCTTTGCACAGTCTGTTCCTGTGCCTGGAGCACTCTTTCCATTTTACAAAGTTTGGTGGTTGCATAAGGCAAATACTTCGGTAACCTCTACCCAGTGTAAGATCGCTAGCATTTCCTCTTTGCCTTGTCTCTTTATGAAACCCATGCTCTTCGTCGTTTAGGGCTCTGCTTAGCTGTCGTTCCCTTCCACACAGCCATCCCTAGCTACCCTCCCTGCAACCTTTTGTGGGTTAGATGCCCGTCCTCAGCCCTCCCACGGCCCCTGCCTTCCCTCCCATAATAGCAGGCATTACACCGCGTTATAATTGTCAGGTTTGTCATCTGCCACCCCCTCAAAGCTCAGAGCTCCCTGAGAGCGGGGAGGATATCTTGTTCAGCTTTATACTCAGTGTGTGCTGCTTGCTTGGAGCACAAGAGGTACACGTTGAAGGGGTGAAGGCCCTCTGGATTTTATCACCCAAGGAGTATTGCCTCAGAACGTGTGTCTGGTATAAAACCTAGTGCCACCCCACCAGCTGTCCATGCCAGCCCCAGCCAGCTCGCCCACGCAGGGCATCCTCAGGTCTGCACACCCACCTCTCCTTGCCTGTGAGAGCCTTCTTGATTGATTTAAAACATTAAACAAGTATTCTCAAACATCTCTTCTGCGCCCAGAAAGCCGACTGCTTAGATTGTTACAATTCCTATTAAGAACCCAATCGAAAGCATCCTGGCTGCTTGTTTGAGGGGTGAGCTGGCCTTCCTCCCTGGCGGGAATGGAGTCGAGCCTAGCGTGTGTCCCGAGGTGTGACCTGGGACCTGGACAGGAAGAGTGGCTCCTTAGGAGTCACTCACCAGAGTGCATTCCCCGTTGCCACCTTGAGCTGGCCTGGAGGGGGCCTTGCTTCCCATCCCCCCCGACTCTGTGTCTGCTCCTGGAGTTGGAAAGGAAATAAGAGGAGGATTCTGGGAAAGGTGGAGAGGTCTTTTTTTTCCCTTCAGGCTCCAAAACAGCTCCACAGGCATGTCTATGTTGTTGCCAAGAAGCGGCTAGAAGGAAGAAGGAAAAACAGTCTCCCAGATCGAGAGTTCAGGCCTCGTGACGGTGAGGGCTAATGTTGACGGGGCGCCCGTCATCTGCCAGACCGTGGGCTGAGCTCTGCGGTTTCTCTGCAGTGCTCGTGGAATCCCCCCAGGAACACGGTGGCTTTTCTATTCTCTAGACAAGGACATCGACGCTCAAGAGGTGATATGATATGGCCAAAGCCACAGGCTACCAATTCCTGGTCTAACCCCTGGAGCTCATCCTTTGTTGGGGGAACCAGAGATGGGGGAGGCCTGTGTGGCCCAGACTGACTTGCTGGGGTGGCCCTGTGTTTGCCACTGGAATCTCTCCACTGGGCAGTACTCCTTGGTTATAAAGTCTTCAAGAGGCCCCAGACCATGGCCTCGGCCCCTTCACCATGTGCCACATTCCCACTGTGCTCCAGGCCCTGGATACCTGGGTACACCAGACACCTCCCCTGCCCTCCAGAAGCTCAGCCTTGAGGGGTAAGTGTCGGCCGGTACCAATGAACTCTGCCTGTTGTCACCAAGGCTTGTTAAGCTCAAGGGCCAACAAAACCTACCCGGCTCCCTTTCCAGTTCCTCTGGGGTGGACCACAGTTTTAACCTGGGGTCCTTGGGGAGTCTCTGAACCCCATAAAGTGGGGGTACAGAACTGTGTCCATGTGGCTCTGAGAGACATGGACTCCCAGCCTTCGTGAGGCTCTCAAAGCAGGGAAGGTGTATTCCATCATATGTAAATCAGACCTCAATAAGAAAACAATAATAAAGGCACTTAAATTATTTTAGAAAAATGAATAATGGTGGCTTCCTACTAGGGGAGGGACGAACATGTCTCCGAGGTCCTGCAGGACCGAGTCCTCAGGGCAGGACAGTTGTTAAGGCCATGGGAGGGAGGCCCAAGTGTCCCCAGCCTCCGGAATATTTCCTGCCTTGTTCAGGTGGGGTGTCCAGACCCCTGCCCACCTCCCTGGGTGCTCACAGTGTGGAAATGTGCAGGAAAAGGCTGGGCAGCCGGTGAACCGAACTCCTGGGCTCCCAAAACCACCTCCTGCCCCAGCCCACGTGGACACTGTGTACTCTGTTCAGCTGGCCTGGTCATCCCACGTTAGCAGTAGCTGCAGAGCAAGGGCTGGAGGCTGGTGATCTTTGGGCTTGCCCTGCGCGACCTCGCTGAGATGCCTGGTCCAGGCCGTGGGCCTCTGCGCTGCTCGTCCACCCCTTTGAAAGTGGGCGGGTTGACCAGATAGCCTTGGGCTGTGACTGAGGTGATAGCTGCTCTTTCTGACGTCACTCATCTCCTAATCCTTGTAAGAGCCCCGTGGGACACTTGTTGACCACTTTACAGATGAGGAAACTGAGGCTTAGACGTGCAAGTGACCACTCAGGGTCACTGAGATGCTGTGTGTGGCCCCCAAATCCAAAACCAGGCCTTTTAATGGTTGCTGCTTTCTCATGTGTGAAAAGCTGCCCCTCCCACGTGACTTAATACAGACCCAGACGTTAAGAGTCCCAGAGTCTTACCTGGGAGAGGCTGCCTGCTGCCTCACAACCTCGTTAACAATGTTCCACACGCGTGTGTGATCAGCTGGCAAGGGAAAAATTGGACCTCGAGGCAGATAGGATCGACTCTGGCAGATGTGGAAAGTTCTAGAACTGTGAGCTACCCCTGCTGGGGCAGGCAGACTTGCTGGTGCGCAGCGTGAGGGGCATGGGGAGTGCTAGCTAAGAAGAGGCAGGAATGTGACCCCCCCCCCCGTTTCCTGGGTCTTACTGCATGGCTTCTGTTTCAGAAGAATTTGTGTTTTCTCTGCATGAAAGCAATTGGCAATCCACTCCGAGACTTCCCAGCTCCCAGGATTAGGAGTAATTAGATCCCTTATGCACCTTTCTTTCTCACCTCTCCCACCCCCACCCTGACAGGGTATTTTTTTTGTGCGAGTTAATGTTCCCCGAATGCAGCACGGAATTTAATCACTGCTCAGATAATGCCGTACGGCCCAGTCTTACAGGCAGAATACCGCGTGTGTTGATAAGATGCTTCTCTACCTTTGCAAAGCACTTCAGTAGCCGTTATCTCAAGCCGGGGGAATAAGGTTTTTTTTCAGCCTAGAAGCGCCCACGGCTTTGGAAAGATAAGGCAGGGCCTCCTTTTCCCAGGCTGGGGAGGCTGGACAAGGTGACAGGGCGGAGCCTGGCACCCTGTTCCTTCTGTTCATCCTGTTGCCGGCTCCAGCTTTGTTATTAATTCATAAAACCAGAAGGCCAAGTGGGTGATTTCCACCAGTGGTGGTGGCCACCACCTTCAGTGAGAGGACCAAAAGTTCCTTGGTTGTTCCAGCAGCGTGACCTTTGTGGACGGGCAGGCTGTCAGAGTGCGCCTTCTGTGCTCGGCACGGCTCCCTGGGAGACAAGAGGGAGCAGTCAGGTCCCAGGGCCCAGGTGCCTCTGGGAGGGAGGGCAGGTGGCCAGTCAGGAGGCATCGACACGATTGGTGTGGCTGAGTCACAGAGTGATGGAAAGAAAAGGCGGGTTCCCTCCTGTCCTCAGAGCACCCATGCCAGGGTCCCAGGGATCAGAGAACCCCAGGTGAGCGCCCAGCACTTCCCAGGCCTCCCTCACCTGGTAGTTCTGGTGGCTTCCCTTGTCCTCACCTGCCTCTCTGAGACCTCAGAGTCCCCCTTGGGCACAGACTAGCTTCCCACCACCTCAGCTTTTACCAGCAGACAGATATGGGTTCGAATGACAGCACTGCCTTGTACTGTCTAAGCAAGAAACTTTGCCTCCCTGAGTCTCAGTTTCCTCATCTGTGAAATAGGAATGTGTCCCTGGGCTGCTGTGAAGATTAAATGGAGAATGTGAGTAAAGCTCTTTACACATCACAGGTATTCAGAAATTGTTGGCAGGTGCTAATCATTTTGATCGTAAACCTTTCAGAAGCTGGCTACATACCTCCTTTTTAAGGCATTCTGTAACTTCCTTCAGTAATTCATACCATTTTTGACATGTCTCAGGTTACCCATCATCTTGTCCTTGTGTGGTGATCAGGGACCTTAGCATGCTTTAATTAGTATCACTCCAGTATTTTTTGAAACCTACATATTGGTTTTATTATTGTTTTATGCAGACTCTATTAAATCTTACAACTGTTCTTTCTTATATAGATTGAGTTTTCTTATGTAACACACTTTTCCAAAAATTTTTCTTCAACAAGTCTCTGTGAGTTGCCATCTTTGTCTGAAAATGCCTTTATTTTGCCAGCCTACAGGAGTGATCATTTGGCTGGGTATAAAATTTGAGGTTGCTGCATGTTTTCTCTCAGCACTGTGTTTTTGGTCTCTTTTTGCTGTTGAAAAAGTCAGCGCTTTTGTCTCGGTGATATTTCTTTGCAGAAATCTGCTTTTCCCCCTCTGTTTAAAAATTTTTGTTGGTGGTGGGTTTTGCTATGCTTTGTGTAGGTGTAGATTTGGTTTATCTTGCCTGGGACTGTTTCATGCCGTTTCTTCCTAAAAATGACTCATGTCTTCCATCATGAAAATATTATCCCTCCCTTTCTCTTCTTCCTCGGTAATTCCTATTAGAAAAATGTTGGACCGTGTCATTCTGTCCTGAGTGCCTCTTCACTTTCTTTCATATTTTCTTTCTTTCTGTTTCTCTGTGCTGTATTCTGAATCATTTCCTTAGGTCTGTCTTCTGGTTTACTAACTCTCTCTTTAGCGACTACAGCTTTGCTGCCTTAACCCAACTTAGTTTTTTAAATTCCAGTGACTTTTAAAAAACATTTTGTAAGTTCTATATGGTTTTAAATTCACTGCTTTTGTAATAGAGCACGATTCTTACTTTATTTGTAATAGTTTGAGCCTCACTGTATAATCTCTGCTGTCTTGCCTTCCTGGGATGCCATTCCATGTATTAATTGTGTCTGCTGATTCTCCCACATGGCGGTTCATTTGCTTGTGTGGTTTCATTTTTGATTATGAGCTCATCTTCGACTGGACTGTCTCCCCCCGGTTTTTCACATTCTTTGAACTATCTTCATCTCCAGATTCAGGCTGAAGCCAGACCAAGTGGAGATGGGCTTAGCTGAAGTCCCTCCCCCATGACAGTGCTATGTGCCCTGGACCGAGGGTTATAGAAGTGCCTTGCACGGTGCTTTGCATTTATTGTTCTGGGTACCTTAGGGTTTTCCCTGGTCTAGAAACATTTTTTACATTAATTCCTCAATTTGGATTTCCTGTACCACCGAGGTTTGGGGTTTTGACTCATGCATGGCACAGGCCTGGAGTTTTGATTCATCGTGAGTCCTACCCCTCTCCTCTGTTCCCTGCCCCTCTGCAGCAGAGTCAGTTTCCTTGTTGACTCTCTGGGCCAGTGGGGCTGGAGGTGGTTTTCTGTCCCACCTTATATGGAGGGGCAGCCATTTGTGCTCTGGCTTTTCATAGGAACTTCTCACCCCTATGGACCCAAGGCCACTGCTGTCACTCAGTGGGCTAGAAGCCCCCCATTCTTAGCTGTTAGAGCCTGAAACCATCCTGACAGCCCTGGGGGACCTCACCTGCTGGGTCTGAGTCCCCTCCTTGCTTCTGGCACCTGGGGATTTCTCTTTCTAGGTTAGTGATATCTTAAACTTTTTTCTAATTTGATCCAGTGCTTTATGGGTTTGTAGTGGGATGGAGGGTCTGTGTTAGCTCCTTGTGGCAGGAACTGGAGTGCTTTACCTAAATAGCCTCCCATAACAAGCCCTCGTACTTTCTGTAAATCTAGAGCTTGAAGATACTTCTGGAAGGATGTGAAAGCCAGTTCCTCAGAGGCTCTGAAAGGGGTCCCCTCTCCAGATCTCCACTGATTAACTGTTGGTTTTTTCCCCTCCATGTCTTCAGCCTTTTTCTTTTTCTTTTTTATTAAAGTGGAGACATTTTTGTCTCTTTAGTGACATAAATGATGTGTATTCAGCATCCCAGCCACTTCTCCATTTTGGCAGACAGCATAGCAAACAGGCAGGAGAACACGGAGTCACAGACCTGGGGTTCAAATCCCAGGTCTGCTGCTCTTATCAGCAAGTGACTTCACCTCTCTGAGACTGTTTCCCTATCTGTAAAATGGGCATGATAACCACCCGGAGAGGCCAGCACTGGTATGAGGACTCAGTAAGACAAGTGTGTCAAGCACTTGGCTTCCTCTGAGTAGGTGCTGACCCGTGGTGCTGTCATTGCTGCTCCGAGGCAAATGGGAAGGAGCAGAGCGCAGCCGTCGGAACGTGAGTGTGGATGAGCAGGGACAGTCTGTGTGATTTTGAGAGTCATGCTCACCCACTCTGACAGCTGTCTGAGTTCTCTTTGCTCACAAGAGGAGAATTCCCTAAAGTCGCATCACCTCGCTCTGTCCCTGCTTCCCCTCTGGTCCTGAGAACTGGAGGATTCATTCTGTGCAGGAAAACCCCCAGACATCCTAATGAAATGCTCACTACCCACGATTCAAATACATGC